GAGGGAGGGAGAGAGGGAGGGAGAGAGGGATGGAGGGAGGGAGGGAGGGAGAGAGTGAATGCAGAGTATTTTTGTATAGTATAAAGAAACATACACTTAAATGTTGAAATTTTGGATCTTCGTTTTGCTCTAGATGTGTTTTTTGGTACAAGGATTATCGCGAAATCAATAAAAACGATGTCGCATTTAATTTCTATAGCTAACCAAAGGATGTTCATTCAAATTCTCTAAAAAAAAAAAAAGAATCTATTTTAGATTATTTTAGATAAAAACATTTTTCCGTTCCATTAATTTTCTTTGCGTGAAAGAAGATGATCCGTCAACTGATAACTGATTTTTTGTTTTGAGCCAAAATATACTTGTCAATACTTAGCCAATATGTTGAAAAAGATTGGGTGATTTTGTTTAGCGAGGTGCTTTTTCTTTCTTTACATTTATATATTTTTGTAAGAGCTAGCCGCCATTACTGTAAGCATCCTCATTCCAGGAAAACTTAGAGAAATGCGCCTCCAACACGAGTACTTCCAGCATTAGGGTTAGGGTTAATGTAATCAATAAAAATATATATTCCTACGGCAACATAAAATCTTATTTATACGTTATTTTAGGATGCTAATAGTGTTATAACAAGAGAGTACTGCTTTTCAAAACCAAGAAAACAAGAAGAAAAAAGCCGTAGATAGAATTCCACTTTTACTGACTGAATCAAGAAGTAAAATCATTTTCTCTAATTTTCAAAAGCTGGATTGAGCTTTGAACCTCTGGTTAGTAAGTAATATTTCAATTTCTTCTGAGTCCGCGCGCCTTGTACCACTTTCATCCGTAAATTCACTTTTTAACATAAATTCCTCAAAAAATAAACTAGCTGTTATTACAGCGGAATTAAAATGCGAAAAATATAGCAATGTTATATTTAAAAATATTAACTACTAACCTTTCCTAGAGAGGAATTCATTGTCAGTCAAGGACGATGGACGACTACCGTTCGAAGACAAACATTTTTAAACCTGTGCAATTGAAACAAAAATTGACGTGTACAGTAAATGGTACGATTTTAGTATGTTATTCAAAAATATTTCCTGAATGTCCATCGTTTAATTCACTTTGAATGATTTTAAGATATTCTAATGCTTTCTTGAACGTTTTCTGGGTTCGAACGAACAGATAATCATTCTTCAAAGCTTTTATCGTCTGTTTAGTGTGAAATAACACGCTTAAGATATCGCCGAAAAACCATCTGATTATTTTTACAAATGATCAGTAAGATGACCCCCGCAAAGACCGTCAAAACATATCACTTGTCTAAAATTGCACAACAAAAAACTACATCCTTTCCGATGCATTTAATGAACCATATACGTTTTAAATCTGCACGCAATTACAATTTTTTCTACAATGTTTTAAACATCTTATTCCAATTTTCTCGGAATGTTTGCAAGCGCAGAAATCCGTTCACTTTAACTAGGTAGTAATCAAAGAAAAAGAATAGTCAGACTATCGGAGAGCTTGTATTTTACACTAGTAATCTAAGATTTTCATTTTTGTTACCTAGTGTTTTCAACGTCTTCATGCGTCGTATTTGTAGATGTTGAAACATTGGCTTAGATCACGTTTTAAGATTCACTTCTTGTACACACTTGAAACTTTTAGCAGATGGCAAGAGGGCACCGATAAATCTTACATATATTCTGAGAGTATTAAGAAGCGGTGTGATAACTTGCTTCAAAAGACTATAATTGACTTTTTGCTCTTTGGCTTTCTTTTTGTAGCGGGTTTTGTTTTTCCGGCAGATTTCTTTAAAAAGGATTAGCTAAACGAAATATCATCAAAGGAAAAAGACATTGATAGTTTTTTTTTTTTTTTTTTGTACAGATTTTCCATCTAAATCGGCTTTAGTGCCCCTTTGTCTAATGTTCATAAATCATCAATCGAATTCGTTAAATCTTTTCCAAGTTTTACGACACCACTTGCGAAGGAGGGTATTTTAAACGACCTCTGCTCATGCGCCGAAATGCACTTTAACAAACTACGAAAAAAGTAGAATGCAGGACGAACCCTTGTCTTAATACAATATATGTGTATCTTTAGAACGACAATCTTTTTGAAAATAAGAAAGATAGATAGGTTTTTCTATAGGATTAAGGTCAGGTTGTGTTTAATGGTTTTCTGACGTCAAGCACTTAATGAGCAATTGCTTGTTTGAAATTATGAACATAAAAGAAATGTTCCGTTGGCGGTATTTCACATGACTTGCTTGTTATTGAAAGTAATGAAAAGACACTGATTTTTGACCATTTGACCAGGTTCATATAATAGGAATCATCATTATTAATATTGTATTTAACCGGCATTCGAATTTCTTAGATACCCCTGAAGCAACATTTAGTACATGGGAATTGGAATTTTGCGTGTTAATTACGTTTTGCGGTAGAAGAACTAAAACACTACTTCCAGCAAAAGCGAAGCGAATGCACTATCGTTATAACATCCTTGGTTTTTAACTGGAAGGGCGTAGGTTTGACAAAATAATACTCCGACTTTTATCTTATATACGTAATTATCCTAGATGATCAATCCTAAGAGGGGAAAACAGTTGTTAAGAAATGACAATGGTTTGTAGCTGTATTCGAGTGAACTTCAGAATCAACTGGACAGAATCAAGTGTTTTGTGAGCCAAAAGATTGCTTAGTGAATACGTTTTATAAATACAAAAGCCAGTGCTGGTTATCGATCGAGATAGATGATCGAAAACCTACTAATTGGATTATGCTTTTTTGTAATCGGATTGATAACTAAAAAAATAACACGCACAAAAACAAACAACAACAACAACAAAACAAACAAAAA